CGTCTGGTCCCGGTGCAGATTTGGTGTTTAGCTTCTGTAGCGCAGCCCTGATTTCAGCGACAGTAAACTCCTCATCTAAGAGCTCATTCGGGCCTCCGTAATATGGTCCGTGCTCTATGACAGGCATGGCGGTAATGTACGTGTTGCTAGCCTCAGCGATAAAGTCGTCCTCACTGCCGTTATACCGGTGAACCAGTTTACGCAAGGTTTGCTTGTATGCTGATTTGGTGTTATCTGGGTCTAGCAGGTGTTTGAGCATGCGCCATGTCTGACCAGCATTCATTTGGCCATCGAGACTATTAGAAACTTGGTCCCATAGCTGTTTGCTTAGCTGCTTACAATGTTCTTCGATCTGTTTGTTCAGCTTGCCTATGCGCTTGCGCAAGGGCCTGTTGTGCTTCTGTCCCCGCCCTCTATTCTGCAGTGATTGCTTGACCTCCAACATATGTGCAAGACGGCTATAAATCTGCCCTCGGGATAGACTTGAAGTGATACTTCTAGTTGCCTCGCTGACATCGTTATTGACAACTTTGATCCAATCTTCTATATTGCCGATAGGGTCTTGTTTTTTTGCGTTTCTGACTTTCCGAAACTTATCCCAGTCAGTCAATCTAATCTGTCTCTGAATTTTTGCGGAAGCTATGGTTTCTATCCTGATTTCTAATATTCGATGATCACTCGCCAGATCAACGAATGTGTTTTTCCATTTAGCGGTCCCCGCGTTAAGAACTAACGTTAGGTCTGGAGTGGTGTCTCTTGCAAGCCCAGTTTCCATACGCGTAGGGGAGTCTGGGTCAGTGATGAGAGTTAAGCCTGTTTCTTGAATATCCTGCCATAGCGTTTTTCCTTTGGCTCCTGTGTATCCGTATGCCCAAGCACTGTGTGGAGCGTTAAAGTTTCCACCTATGACGAGTGGATTGGGGCTCGCTATATCTACGGCCTTCTTAAAGAGAAGAAGGAAGCGTTGTCGTATGCGTGTGGGATTGCAGTACAAATTCAGAATAAATATGCTCGGAGATTTTTTTCTTTTAGGGGCAAGTTGTACGAGTATATGTTCAATTTCTGTGATGCGGGTGTCGTGGCAGATTACTACGAGTCCCTTCTTTGCTAGAGTGGTTAGTGTTCTAATATCCCTGCTGAGGGGCTGATCGCCTGATATCCCTGTAGCTTAGCTAAACTATGGGTTTCCTGCAAAATTAGAACATCCGGTTTGGTCCTGCCTCTAAGGTGTTGTTGCAGGACTGCTCTCTTCCCCTCATAGCTCCTGCAATTCCACTGCCAAATAATTAAGTACCTTTTTCTGGGCTTCCCTATTTAGAGTTGGCAATCGAAGAGGGAGGAGGGTGAAAGGAGGCAGGCCTCATAAAATTAGTTGATATAGCTACTGATGTGGTGCCCTGAGATAAGTGTGAATTTCCTTCAGTGCTCATCGGAAGGTTCGTAGCTGGAAGTACCGGAGGTGTCCTAGGGTTCAGATTGGCTACGTTAGCTTCAAGTTTATCTAGTCTATTCATGATCATGGATATTGCAAGCGAGAGGTTGTTTGTTGCCTCTGCCTGTTCCTTAACTGCTTTCTGTATTTCGGACAATGTTTGAATATTGTTCGAGGTTTGCACCGTACTTTTGTCATTAGACACATGAGCTTTCCTTTTAAGAGGTGGCGGGGTACTGTCCTCGTCGATTCGGTTATCTGGCATTTCTTCGAGGCGCTCTTGGGCCGCAGGAACGCATTGGACTAGAAGTTCTATTTGTGCAGTTTTTAAGACTTTGAATTTCCCGAGTAAGTTATGATATCAATTCTCTAAGCTCGGCGTTTTCTTTTTTCAGCTCCGCTATATCACTGGCATTATGCGCTGTCTCCCCCGAAGGCTCAGGGCGCGTCCTTTTAGCCACGTCTGACAAGCTCACCGTGAATGCCGGGTTCTCTTGATGGCCATTGCCACCCTTTGGCTTAGACCGGGATCTGGAACGGGATGTAGTGCGCCTTCTCGGTCCCGGAGACTGGGCGGTGTGGCCGTGGGGCGTTGCGCAGGACCAGGACCTTGATCTGCACAAAGGCGTTGCCCTCGTCCGGAATTTGGACCTCCCGCGTTCGGTTGGCTTAGTGGTAGGGGGGTAGTTCTCCTCGAGCGTCTCCTGAAGTTGTCGGAACACTCGCATTGTTTTACGATGTAGGGTGTCTTGAACTTGGCCTTGCAAAGTTTGTCAGCCGTGGGATGATCCTTGCCGCACAGCTGACATCGTGGCTGACAGTGGTGGTCCTCGCTCGGATCAGGCGTTCCACAACCCGCAAATAGTTTGTCGTTTGGCCTCCAACACACGTCACTCCTGTGCCCAAGTCTGTTGCATTGTTTGCAAAAGTAAACTTGTTTCCTTTATAGTGAACAGCGTGTGAGCACTCCTCTGTATATAACGTGCGTCGGGACTCTGCTGCCGTCAAAAAGGACTATCACTGTCGTGGTGTTGCCAAGACGTTTGGCTGCGATCGCCGCAGGATTTCAAGCTGTAATAATAGCTGCGGTGATGTCCCGTGGGGTTTCGTTCAAAGGAACTCCTTTGATTACACCTTTGGCAGTGAGTTCCGGGGCCGTCTCAGTATGCTCCCACCTCATACAACTCATCGTTGGCTTTGATGTGCTTCATGCCTTGGTACTTGTCTGCATGATCTTGGTTTGGGGTGCTAACGACCAAGATGTTCTGGAAATTATTCGGACAAATGGTGTCCGTCTCTCTTTCTTCATAAGAGATCTCGGCCGCTTCATACACAGTTTTGTCTAGCTCCGTTAAGCTGAGCTTGGATAGCTGCAGTCCTCATCTTGGCCTTATAACTATCTTGAAGTCGCCTGTCGGCAGTCTTGGCATTTTGCTGGCTGTGGTTATCCAGGATATCACATTTGCACCGCACGTTCTAGGTGTTCGGGTAGGGCTAGGGCTACCACGGTGTTCCTGGCTACCTTTCTTCGCACGTTTTCTGTTTCGAACTTCTGTCCACCCGTTGCCTGTGTCACCTGCCTGTTGGGTGACGTCTTCGTCTTCCCGTTGGGTGGCGTCTTCATTCTGCTGCGATACCTCCATTTTGATGATTACGGCCTGTATGGCGCGAACGCCGAGGCCTGGCTATTGTGAGGCCACCCCAGTCGACGCGGAGCGCCGGTCGTAGGAATAGTAGACGCTGCTTGGTGAGGGCTGGTTTTCGGTCGTAAAATCTCAGAAAATGATGACCCACCTTAGAATATGGTCTCTTCGGATTCTCGGTGACGAGAAGAATCAGATGGTATATAAATCCGAGCGGTCCCTCTTTGCCTATCAAGTGACGTGGAACTTTTCGGTACTCGCAAGTGTGTGCAATAGGGGACCCCCATCAGCATCTTTGCATACGCAATGGGTGCTAACTTGAACTCTCCAGATGACGTCATCTTGAGCAGCATTCTTGTGGAACACTGGATCGCGTATGGCAGACGCCGATGAGGGCCTCTTACGCGCTCGATATGCCGTAGAGTTCCGCGTTCCTCGATGGGCAAAGCATCTATTCAGGTCAACCTATTAGTTTTATAAATATAGTGCCGGATGGTCGCGCATACTGTCGCATTAGATAACTCAGAAATTGAAGCTCCAAAGGACAAAATGACAGGTGCAGATAAAACCACACCAATACCACGTAAAGGTATTTCTAAAAGGATTTTTCGTATTGTGTTAAACCGCCCACAAATCAAAAATGATCTATTGTTTCAAATTCATCACAGAACGCGCACAATGGAGAAGGTGCCTGGGTGTAGCTGTGTTTGTAGAAATTTAGATTATTACCTGGCCATGCAGCCTTGTGATTGCTGCTTTTTGTTTACGAGTTTGGTCATGGACACTATTTGTCTTCTTCTCTCTTATCCGCATCTTTAATACCCTCTTAATCCACCAATCATCTCGCTTAAGCTGGCTCACCGAACATTGGGCAGTTCTTTGACCACGCACAAACTACAGATTCCAAACACTCTCCTACCATGGCCGCTGGACTCTTTTCGTTCAACACAAAACAAATATAAACAATGTGATGACCACATTAGCCCTCTTTCTAAAGAGACGTGTACTAATTTAACGAATACCAAGGTCGTATCTGTGTTTAGTGAAAATGTTTTTCTTACCGATTTTTATTGCTTTTCTTTGTGTATTCCTGTTTTATTATTGGTGCGGGAGAATTCTTCTAAATGTTGCTGCTGTTATTGTTTGGGGAAGTAAGACCAGTCAAGCTGCCTATATGCGTCATTTATCTCAATATTTTTTTTCTGTTTACACATGCTCTGTATTTATGTGGCTATGAGCTTCACTTCACTCCCCATTACCCTGCAGGCGCTAAGCAGTGCTCCCAACTATGGCTGCAGAAGTTTCGTCTTTTTTTCGCCTCCAACTCTCCTCCGGATTCGCGTTTTTAAAGCGACAAGGATAAATATTTTTATAGGCGATCCCAGTGAGCGGACTGTAGTTTTTTTTGTTATTGTTGTTGCGCCCGAGGAATTACAGCAAGCATAAAGTGACTGTATCCGGTATTGCTTTTGAGCTGCAGCTTGTTCCGACTTAACGAACTGCAGGCCCCTTTGACGCTGTTCTTCGATGGTTAAAATATTCTTTATATATGACAGCACAAAGTGATTGCATTCATTCTAGATATTCGTCAATCTATTGACATAACTCACACAATGATGTGCTCTACCCCGTGGTTCAAGTATGTAAAAGCCACGCTGACGTAATGCAATGTACAGTTCCTTACTGTGTACTTGCAATTGCGTAACGCTTTTCAGTCTCGCAGTGCTACCACAAAGAGGCTGCCTAGGCGTAATTTTTAATGGAACCATTCTGAGCAGAGGTGCAACGTCGTCTGACAGCTAAATACTATATGCGCACCTGCCGTACTTGCTGTACAATAAGACATAGCGAATACACTCACTCCAGGTGCGCAGACTCTATATTTAAGGGTGTAGTAGTGCTAGGGATATTCAGTGAGTGCTGTTTCTTTCAAGCGAAGCTCATTGACACAGTATCGTGAAATGAAGTTTATCCCGTCCATTTTATTCACCCTATTTATGACAGTTAAACAGTCTTTACCCATTAGTTTCTCATACCAAGAAGTTGATGACTACGAGATCAAAAAGGTAAATCATTGCAGTTCTCCCCGGCATTTGTCAGTCAATAGCCCCTATGTGCAGTGATGTGTGCAATTTTTATTTTATGTGCCAATAGTGCCAATATGCTCGCTTTCATGACCATTCTTAGCTACTATCGGAGTAAATATGTGCACAAAATCTAGCCTCCACCGCTGATTATTGGGGCCCTGAAATTCCCTGACCTTTAGTTCTTGAAAGCTCATGTCCAGATTAATTGCGTCGTTGCCGATATCGAGACACTATACTCTATACAGGTTTTCAGGTGGCAATGAATGAGTGTTTGTACATATTAATGTAAAGCACCTGCGTTTTGCTTTCATTTTCGATGCAATTTTTCTATATTTGTTGAGAAGATTTACATCAATATTTCTGGGTCTCCTAGGTTTCAAAACTATGACATACATAATTTAGAAATATGCCCCCCAAAAAAACTATATATATATATATATATATGTGTGTGTGTGTGTGTGTGTGTGTGTGTGTGTGTGTGTGTGTGTGTGTGTGTGTGTGTATGTGTGTGTGTGTGTATGTGTGTGTGTGTGTGTGTGTGTGTGTGTGTGTGTGTGTGCGTGTGTGCGTGCGTGTGTGTGTGTGTGCGTGTGTGCGCGCGCGTGTGTGTGTGTGTGTGTGTGTGTGTGTGTGTGTGTGTGTGTGTGTGTGTGTGTGTGTGTGTGTGTGTGTGTGTGTGTGTGTGTGTGTGTGTGTGTGTGTGTGTGTGTGTGTGTGTGTGTGTGTGTTGTTCAGGACTGCTGAAATGTATTGCCACATGAAGTGCTGCGAGACAGAATGGTTGGTGCATACGTGTATACAGCCTTGATACTCTTCGTATGGAAGCAGTAAAGCGATCGAGGCCCGTTACTTAGATTTAGGTGCACGTTGGAGAACCCCAGGTGGTCAAAATTTCCGGAGCCCTTCAATACGGCGTCTCTTAATATCATATCATGATTGGGGAACGTTAAACCCAAAATAATATTATTCTTCTTAGGAAGTAAAGCGAGATTTGTAAGATTCCCTGATAGCATAGCAGGTTTTTTCGTAAGGTCAGGTGATACCGGGTGATATTTGGCTGAGCTTAGGCACCACGGAAGAATCGAAGATATCGCGGCAGGCGTTACGCATAGTGTCACGAGACTTCATAAGTGCACAGGTCTTCTAATAAACAGCAGTGTAGCAAGCTCTACAAAAGCACGTCCGTCGCGACTGGCTCTCGAGCGAAGAAACACGCAATTTTCTTTTCGTTTAGGGCAAGAGCCGCCCTCGTCCTCGGCCCATGCCAGTCAAGTGGCAACTGCATGTATGGCAAGACTTGCTATGCGCCGTCACTGTTTTAAAAAAGAGTGGTGCGTGCTCCGTCTGCTGGCATAGAGGCTAAGCAGCATTGGTGCCCATATTCGGCATGGTAAGATCTACAGAGTAGATTATTGAGCTGCTTTACGGGGACAATGCAGCACATATGCCAAGTTGCCAACACTATGCAAAATAATACACCAAACAGCATAAGTAATGCAAGCATATCTACGAAACAAATGATGACGATTCAACGAAGCTAGGTGCTAAGGTCGCATTGGCCTAGTATGCGACCGATGACGGCACTGCGAAACGCGCATGCATGACGTCATTTCGAGGATTCCCGTGCTTTCGAGCAGCGGCGTTGTGTAGAAACCACCGTCGTGATAAAACTCGACAAAGAAGCATTTCAAATAGTTATCTTGTGTGTTTTGGCTACAAAAGCTGTGCTATCAACCGTGGGTGTCCGCTTTTTATTTACACCTCGTTTTGAAAGCATTGTGTTTTGTTTCTTGAAACTGCGGCCGCTTGCGTCCACAGTGAGTGCTACACGACGGTGAAGTACTTCTCTGTGCCTCTATAAGATCACCAACCATGAAAAGGGCGTTAGCTTTCTCAACTAACCTAAGGACTCAAAGGCCCCACCGTGGTGGTCTAGTGGCTAAGGCACTCGGCTGCTGTCCCGCAGGTCACGGATTCAAATCCAGGCTGCGGCTGCTGCATTTCCGATGGAGGCGGAAATGTTGTAGGCAAGTGTGCTCAGATTTGGGTGCACGTTAAAGAACCCCAGGTGGTCGAAATTTCCGGAACCCTCCACTACGGCGTCTCTCATAATCATATGGTGGTTTTGGGACGTTAAACCCCACATATCTATCTATCTAAGGACTCAAAGCTGAGGAGGAAGTCGTGAAACTCAGAAAGGGAAAGTGCCCCATGTCTCAATCGATCATGTGCAGCAAGCACTTCGCTGACAGTGACTTTTGCTGTATCCGCCCTACGTGCCACTCTTCGGTATGCTTCCAACCGTGTAACCGTGTTTTGGCGCCTCGCCCGTACTTCAGTCATTCATTGCTCGTGGGCTACAAGCGTAGGTGACTTACACTAGGAGAGATGCTGTCCCAAAACCACGAGGGCTCCAACGGAACCGACGAAGTGGCCTCCGAATCGCCTCGGGTAAGCGGGCCTCGTGAGCGCAGCTGAGTAGCGGGGGACATTTGACAGTACAGCTTTATCTGGTCGGTAAACGTACATATATACGCAGTTTACTGGTGAAGACAACCACTCGTCTAGTGCACTGCTTACTATAAATTTGTAAGCGATACCGGATATCACTGTTTAGTGCACGTTAACTAAAGGTTGTCACCTAAGGCAGACACTTTAAGCGGAGCTCCTTAAGCTTTTTTTTTATGCTACGTGCGTAAACGCAAACTCAACCAGCTTGTCTTTCCCACGTTAACCTTTGTGGCCCTGTGCTTGGTATATACATATATATTCAGCGATAACTATTTGTTATATTTAGATAGCCCAAGCGACGGCCCTGTGTGGTAATAATATTGAAATACTTTGTGATGCCGCTCTCACTGAAAAAACAATGCTGAGACAAACTGCAGTGATTTACATAGACCAGGGGCACAAGCGAAACTTGCCCCCTCCTCAAGTCACACCAGCACTTACCCCTCACGACTCCTCTTACTGCAGTACAACACGGGTTTGTGCCCTGCCGACGTCCATAGCTGCAATCCGAGCTCGATTATCTCCAATTTAGTAACTTGATGCTGCTTTGCATTTATGCCAGAGTCCAAGAACGGTCGATTGATTGCAGAGGCAGCAATTTAAACAGCTGCTCTGCAGCGAATATCTCGTGCGTTGTTTGTGAATGTCATGGTGGCAGACATTAGCAATTCTCACTCATATCTTCGTGTTCGCTGTGACCTTCATTGAACTGCAGAGAAAAAAACATCCTAAGTGGAAGGGCACGCGTGTCCTTTTCTGCAATTTCTGAAGTACTGCACAGAGCAGTACTTCACCAATGCGCAGCACTCGATCACAACGGGGGCGTTGTGTGGCGGGTTCGCATGTCCACGCGTTTGCCATTGCCGCGACGGTGATCCGATCTCCATCGACGGCATCAGCTGCGCACATTCGACAACGTAGCCTACGTCGTACACCACCGCAAAGTGTCGCAAGCTGTATCTACCTGCTTTTATATGCTGGTAAAAAGCGCGCTTATTGAAATTAAGAAAGAAGCAGCCGAACTATAGGTAATAAGTATCACACGGCGCAAACTGCAGGTGACGAGCGATAACATTCACACATAGTTACTATCGGCGGGCTTGTCGGCCATGTTGGAAGTTTCTTCGCCCTGCCGATTGTGCCGCCACAAAAATAAATTCATAAATGCACTCGAAAACATTTGTTGCGAGTGTTAGTTACCCTTACGAGGCTTTTTGTTTCACTATGTTCTCACCAGAAGCAGACGATGCACGCACATGAAGCGGCTGGGTGCAGCGTGGTTGAGTGTGCAGTCGACAAACTGACGTCACACGCGAGAGGGTGAGACTTCATAATCTCCGAGGCCAAAATTCTGTACGTTGAAGCCACCGACTAGAATGAAGGGTTCGTCTTTGTAGGCGTTTTATATTTTCCTGACACAATTGCGATTGATCTATTGAATTTATTATTGAAATGCCTTGTTAAAACGTTTTCTCTACTTCACATGTGTTATTCTAGCGTTGCCCCATATGAGGCAAATCGAGTGATGTGAATTGGCATAAAGTGACAAAGAGATTAGAGAAAAGGCAAGGTACTCATGAATGATTTCTACGTTGAAGTCGCTGACTAGTATAAAGGGATGGCGCTTCTAGGTGTCTTCTATTGTTGCTGTGTAGGTATGAACGATATTAGTTCATTGTTAAACCTTATTTTGAGTCTCACATATGTTTCGACTACACCATACGTTACTCGAGCATTGCCCCACATAACCTAGCCGTACTAACGGACACGGGACAAGCCTCACCCCTAAGATGCCCTTGCCTAAATCCAGTATGCGTGTTCTCCGGCTCTCTTGTATCCTCGCTTGCACACCTTAATTTCTTCCACTATTGAATCGTGCGTCTCATAAAAAAAGAAAGTTAGTTCATGGCACTTTCAGTCGACCGTTTGCAATTCAGCATTCTTCTGCCTATGAAAAGCGATTGCACACCACGTCTTACAATCCGAATGCATCGGCTATTTCGTATAGTACAAACGCTGAAGACACTGAACTTCGCTGTATGAAGCCGTGGCGAACAAAGTCCGTTCACTCGATGTCCTTGCATTCAACGAGAGTGCGTAGCAACCACATATTAGACAAGAGATGATGGGCTTTGTGTGAATAAATTGCTTCTAAACGGGAGAAGAACGATAAAAAATGCCGCAGCTCTCAAAATATTCAACATATTCACCTTTTTTCTTAAATTTTTCATGATGTTAAAACAACAATTTAAGAAACGAAAGCAATAAAACTGAAAAGTATTGTGAGCACCCCATTACTAATATTTTGATAAAACTGTAATTAACAACACATGCCGAGATGTCGAAAGCAGCAGGTCTTCTGATGGCAACTGCTACGTTAATAACAGAATACCGTATGCATGAATTCACCAAGTTTCTATGGTTGTGCAATATTTGAACTCTATTGTGTTAACAAGGTCGCAGTGACA